GTTAATCGATTTCTCACGACGTGTTACCCCTATATCCGATAGAAAATTGACGAGTTTCGATGAAAAATTTCTGCTTAAAAGTTGGTGTGTGGCTGTACTTAGAATGAAATCAGTCTTATAAATTACAGCAAAGTCTTTATCGGCGCGCAACCTGTATGCATTCCAATACCTTCGTCCAATAGGTCCCAAAGGTAACCAGGGGGAATCTGAGGCGGCTCAAGACTCTTCGACTAGCGATTTTTAATTCGTGCTATTCCCTTATTGCGGATTATGTATCCGACTACACACGATCGCATTGCCAAACTTCCTCTACTATTAGTCTCATCCAATACATACCTGTAACATCCCAGATGCAGTTGCATCCACCACACTCTCTACACCCTTCATTGCCGGACCATCTTTTGCAACATCAACTAACACCAGCCGCCGCTGGTACTCACAAGGAACTGTGAACGAGCCATCTGCACTAGGCTCTGGAGGTCTTTTGCTTCCAAGCGCAGTCACGCACGGGCTAGCACTCCCACGAGGTATGGAGGTCATGGTCAAGACCATGCTGCACTGGTAGGTTGTTTCAGTTGTACTCGGCAATTCAACTACTTCATACAGCCGATTCAACTTCTTATCTCGTATCATCCAAGGTTTACCCGTCTTGATAGTCCTTTCTGGGAAAGATAGTGCGTAGTATGTTGCCTGGAGGCCTTCGGATGTATAGGTGGCGTCAGCTCCTTGCGAAGCTATTTCTATACCACTTTTGCTGCCATTTTGAGCCGCCATAAGTGACACAGGAATCCAGCGAGACCCCGGAATGTCCAATTTGGATCCAAGAAGAAAGAGTATGTTCTTAGGAAATGTATGGAGTTCCTTGAAGAGTAGTGCCATACGCTTCTCTCCGGGCAAGTCAAGAAAAGGAAGGACTTGGATACCCAAAAGACTCGCAATGGCCAAGGTTTCATCTGTAGCTCGGGTTGTGTCCCTCCAGCGTAATGATCGGGCCACATCACCAATCGTGTAGGTGCCGTAGCCAGACCGCTTCATCAGTCGAAACAGCTCCGCGGCTAGATCTGTCTGGTATGGTTGTAGTAACATATCGCTAATGGGAGGAATCAGGTCACCTAACGCTTTGTGAGTGTCGGCAAACTGTATGTAGAGTTGCTTCGCCAGTACACCTTCCTGCAGTGTCCAGAGTCGTCGCATCCAACCCGAAGTCAAGACTGCGAGCAGTTTCGCACCAAGCGACTCAGTAGAATTCATGAGCTGTAGACTGCTATCCAACACCAAAACAGCTTCGGCGTCTTGGTAGGTGCGTGCCATCATACCAATGGCTTTCTTACGAGCAAGCTCCGCCTTCGGAACGCATATACTATCTATCCAGAAAGCCGCATTTGGACGCAATGTAGATACAAGTGCGCTCAACTGTTGCAGCTGACATAGAGGAAGTCCGTTTTCCGACGTGCTCCCAAGACCATCTGCCCACACATGAGATAACGCAACATATGGAATGTCAGTCGATTTGTGGACTTCAAGACCGGAAGAATTGAGCGTGACGACGGGTATTTGGCCATTTTCAATGCAATTAAGGACTTGCTCCAGTACCGGTCTGAAGAATTCACAAAGTGTCTCCGGGGTCTTCGTTAAGGATTTGCACCTGCTGTGGTGCTTCGCGACGTATGTCGCAGTATCGATATCATAAGCCACACAATGCTGTGGCGTACAACCTGAGTGGCTCTTGCCATCGTCTATCGGACCCTGGTTGCAAACATATCGCAAAGATGACACTGATGTAGTACTGATCAGGTATTCAGTGGTGTATGAACACCATCCAACTGCATGCAATTCTTCTTGCAATATCTTTCTAATTGGCGGTACCCAGATCATAGACCACGAGAAGCCTTCAGTAGGCATACGGAGTCCTAATGCCATTCTTGCGTGCGCGCTGACTAATGCCTCGGCGATGATTGCAATGAAACACACCATGGATGGCATTGCATCACCGAGCAATTCGAATGGCGCGAAATTTATTGTTATCAACGATACCACAAGGGAATGGGCTGAGCGCAGATTCTCACGAGCTCGTTTGAACCACGGCTCCAAAAGCTGTGTCGGGGTCTGTTCGATCCGAGAAAGCCAGTTGCGCATAATGTCGACCAGATGACGTGTAGTCATAACCAGCTTGCCGCTGTGATCCTTGTGAACCAGCATATCTTCTGCTATTGGTGCTTCGATCACTGCCTCTAACAAGCCGAATGTGAGCATACTCTGATAGCTTGCTGCCAGAATGTTCATTGAAGACTGATTCCTCGGTCGGACTTCCAGATATTGGCGCAGCGAGACCGGATCATAACCGTCGTGCGGGTATCCTAACCATTCTGGATCCGCGAAAAGTCGAGAATGAAGATAGTTTGCGTTACAATGTGACATAATGCCTCGTCTTTAGGGGTCTTGACTGGGTTGATCGGCCTCGAGATCTATAACGCCTAACGAATGCAGTGGATAGGCAAAGGATTAAAATCGGCGGGGTTGTGTTGGTTGGGCGTCCGCGCATCAGCAGTCCCCACCTGTTGCCTTGATAGGTTACGAAACCCAATTCAGCGATCGAGCCCCTCCTATACCCCGCTATTGACTTTCTCTTTCAGCTTGATATATATTTTCTACTTCATGAATATATACCACTTGAATGACGTAGAAATACTCAGCGACTGGCTTCAACAAACTAATCTTACACCCCACGAAATCTTCATCCAGTGAGGCAGCATCGAGCTAACATAAGACATGTATGTATTCAAAGATTTCACCGCAACAAGCTCGAGTCTATTCCGGACTGCCACGTCTAATCTAGAGATTGCACAAGTCAGTTGATGAGCTCAGTAAATTGAATACTGCTTCTGGACACGATCCAAAGCCCGATCTTTTCCAATTCCCTGATTTTCAAAGACCTATAAATGGACAAGTAATTTACAACCAGGAGTTCACGAAACCTCCGGAGTCATGTTGTGCCACAATCTCCTATATCCAGCGAGGATTGAAAGAACAACACAATGCCTCCTCCTGTATCATAGCATTCCATGTAGAAGGTGCAAGAGATATCATTTCGCATTGTTATGACAGAAATGTTGATTACGGCTCTATCTTTACAAGAGGTTTGTGTAGAGCTGCGTTGTTGCGACATGTGGTGGCTGTGCAGAGCGTCAAATCAGGTTTGGTACGGTGGCCAGCCAGCTGCGTTCAAGAGATGCCTAATAAATCCCAAGGTCACATGTTTGTCATAAAACCAGAGTACCGTACCCCGCACATGGCGGCTCTTCAGAAATCTCTCTATTCCTATCGTTAAAGTGCTTGCGTAGTGCGATTCTTGCTATTCATAACCGCTATGGAGCCTCTAGTTGACCATGAAACTAGAGGATCCACAATTATTCTTTCTGTTTGTCTAAACTCTCTCAAGCCTCTCACTCAGCGCCACCCACTACCTATCTTGAGTATCGCTTCCTCGGCAACACCTGGGCGGTTCCGACTTATAGATTGTGATCAGTTTCTTTATCATCATTCTTTGACTGTTCATGAGTTCTGCGAGTTCCCAGTCCCAGAAACTGCTTACGCTGCTATTTCATACATCTGGCGAGGAAATAGTGTCGATGAAAGTCTGGTTGGCGCAAGGTTTTCCATCGCTGGAGCCGAGGATGGCGATCCTGTTGGCGTAGAAGTCCTCAGACACGCATGCACGGCAGCACTCCTGCACAACGTTAGGTACATTTGGCTGGATCGCCTGTGTATTATGCAGACAGAAAAAAATGACAAGAACTAGCAACTTCAACATATGTTTCAGATATATGAAGGCTGCGCAGTATGCTTCATCTTCCCTGGTGGCATCCAGCGTCTCGTCTGCCTCGATGAGCCGACCGCGTGGATCCACCGCGCGTGGACACTACAAGAAGCTCTTGCCCCACCCTGCGTCGAAGTAGTATATAGATGGACTCTTGGACGTGGGATGTACGTAGGGCTGTATCGAGGCGACATTCATGAGCTTATCCCTGGCGAGTCGGCTATAACTCCCCTTCGCGCGCTGCTGGGACTCAATATCTTCCCAGAGGTAACCTTCATCGGTAGCAAAGATCCTATCCCATTCCGCACAACTATCTTTGGCCTCCCAACTGGATCCACTCCTCCCTACTGGCCCGAGCATAGGACTGAAATTGTCATATCTATGTTCCAGAACGCTCTCCCGCATGGGGACGGGCCTACCTTCAACCAACGCGCACCCGCCATCTGGCGGAGTATGTTGTTCCGGACATCATCTCGTCCGGTGGACATGATTTTCAGCATCATGGGTCTCTTTGGGGTGACTCTTGACCCGCGCGCTTTCGAGCCGGATGACCGCCTTGATGCGACGGTCGCGCTAATGCGCGCGATTCTCAAGCGGCCAGGAGGTAGGGCGAGCTGGCTGGGCGTCGCACCGTACTTGCCACCGCATCCACGACTATCCACAATTCCAAATTTTCCGCATACCAGCGTAGATGGGAAGGTCGAACTTGAGCTTGATTTCGCGCCCGAGATTGGTGAGCGAAGCCAAAATCAGCCCTTGGACCAGGTCCTGAGCCAGCAGCGCTTGTCTGTTTTAGACACTCGAAGCATATCGATGCCAACTGGAAGCGTGGATGAGGCTGGATACCTCTGCATCTCCAGGCCAGTGTTCCGTGTGTATGCTTTTGAAGGAGAGCGAGTTGAAGATAGTCACCATGAGCACTTGAACAGCACGACTGTCAGTCCACCTTAGTGTTGCTTTCCTACTTGGGCGATCAACCAAACGGCGTGGCGGTTCTGCGATGTCGCAAATCGCTACCCCAATGCACCACAGGGCACACGCTCTGAACCTAGGACACTTGCTGTTCTGATTGGATTTCGCAACGAGATTTCTTTGGCTGGAACATGGGAGTGGCCTCGGTTTATAAGTGCAATGCTTGTTCGTGAACACGCGCCGGACTATTACCATATCGAGTCATACTTTGAGCTTGAGGACAAGCTAAGTAGCTGGGTTAACACTTGGGAAGAGCGTGAACTATCTATTGGCGGACCTCATTCTCACTCTATGGCAGGACGAACCAGGGCTCATGAAAAAGAACGAGCAAAGAAAGAAGGAGGATAATGGTATCATCCTGAACTGGTATTACAGATGTTTAGAATTTGTTGATCTGGATGTGATATGGATATTCGAAGCTACACATAGTACGGGGATATCATGGGCAAGGCCCTGTTAGGAGACGATACACCACCAAGAGGTATCGCCTTACTTGCGCTATGAAGGTTTACCTGATTTGAGCGTGATGGAGTAACCAAGCGGACCAGAAAGAAGTCCACATGGAGAATGCCCGGGTAGGCAGAAATGGAGCTAATGGAAGAAAACTACCGGAATACACGATGATTGAACAACAAATAAAGACACTGGCTTTTACTGGGTCTTTGGATGGATTTCAATAAGAAGGGAGTCTAGAGGAAGTTATCGTATGATCCTGAACTTGACTGAACTTTTGGATGTAAATAACTCCTTGCAGGGATCCTCGTACTCTCTATCGGAAGCCCTTGTCTCGTTTATTGGTTTGCAGAATTTGGCAGCAGAAAGACTTGGAGAAGCAGAGACTGGAAGCGCATGCTAATTGCGCTTACCACAACTCCATCGTGTCACCACACGGCAAAAGAGCGGCTGATTTTTTTCTCATCAGGCGAGTCAGCACTACTAGGCAGCAGTGAGGCGTGCAGCGGTTTACAGCGGCGTTACCCCACCAACATCCGCGCTAAAGGGTCCTGCAATCGACTCTCCCTGATGATGCAGCGCCTCTTACTTTCCATTAACTATTTCGCCCACGAGCAACAAAGACTTTGCGCCCATAGAGGTTGTACTCGATAGGTACTGCCTTTCATTGGACCATTGGCCTTGCAAGCACCATTCTCACCTAATATGCCGCCGCTCATCCTCAAACTGCTCCGTCGCTCATTTGAACCTGGAAAAGCATCCAGCGAGTTTGCTGAACAATGGAAAAACCCAGGCGATGTCTTTTCGGTGCTACTGATACTTGGCGGTGATATTGTGGGGCGTGCGGTAGCCCAGCTTGCCGGTTCGCGATTAACCCCAGTGGCCTTCTCATTCGGTACGTTATCCGCTTGCAGAGCTTGCGCGGCGAGAAATGCTTTGTCAAGGTGGTTTTCGCGTTCTATCCGCTAATGAATATAATCTTCTATTCAGGCTGGGTAGCTTACGCCGTTACTGCTGTCGTTTCCGCCGTTGGCGAGAACAAGCTTATGCCGCTCCCCGATTGCGCCTGTAAAGTCATCAATGGCGATTCAACGTATGTGCGTGACAACACAAGTTGGGTGCTAGGACGCATCATGCGAGATTTCGAGGGCTGGATGCACCCGGATATACGCCAAAAGGTCGAAGAGATTTTAGACCAAAAGCGGGAGGAATTACAAAAAGACGCTGAGGCGCGTGGAAATGGACAGACAGCGAATATCCAACGTCCTACACAAGCCGGTCTGTGTGTGTCATTCTACAAGGCTGAAAAGGCGAGCCCAGGAAAAACACAATTCGATATGGTATACGGCAGCGGTTTTGCTACCGCCATATTCCAGCTTGGAGTGGCAGCCATTCCCTGTGGTGTCTGGGGAGACTGGTCTATACTTCTCATCACCGCGGCAGGTATCTTATTGGCCTTTCTGTCGGGGTCTTTGGGTCAATGGAAGACTGAGAAATGGCCCTGTCGCCCCAACAGAGAAACAAAGACTGTAATACTCACACGCGGCAATGGTGCTCAGCATGCTATTGTTATTCGCGACGCTGACATTGTGGGACTTGACCTGGAGAGCCTTGCGGGAGGCCAGTCTAATGTTGATGTTTCCACTTCACTTTCTACCCGCGTGACTGTAGTGCTCCTCGCAGTGCTTTGGATTCTACTACTGGTTTCCGCTTCTGGTATCAAGGACCATACCTGGTTTCTTCTTGCGGTTGGCGGCATCGGAACAACCCAAAACATCTTTGTTGCTGGCTCGCGTCGGGATCCATCAGCTTTTGGTATACCGTTGACTTATGAGAAGGTCATTGCTAGGACAAAGGTAATGCACACACTATTTGCGGTGGAGGAAGCGTTTCCTGGACTTGGTTTCAGTATGCGCGAAACGTTCTTTCCTGGTGGTCAGCTCAAAGAGCACGAAGTAGACAAGTGGGAAGCATGCCAACAACTTCTAAAGGAAGAGAAGGCAGCTAGGAGGGCAGCTAGGGAAGCGGAGAGGATAGCACAACAGAACCAGCGTAAAAATTAGTTCGATATCAGTAGCAGGTGTATCGGTCTACCATAGATGACTTGATCGTCGAGAAACTCTACACTGTTAAGCCATTCACCAAGATCCGACTTACTAGTCTACTATTTTTCGTACGTCGCAAAGTATCCTGGAAGCGCAAACTTCAACTCGGCCCTTTGCAAAGTTCTTCAATCGCGAGTAGTAAAACCCTATATTATCAGGTCATTGTCGCACGCACGAAGACACTGTTCTTTCTAATGCATCTTCCGGCATGAAGATTCAGCCAATCGACATTCATGACATGTCTACGAAAAATCCCTTGCTGGGTATTCAACTTTTCATACCAAGTGATAACTGACCAATTCTCTCTCCCTCTCTCTTTCTGGTCTTTTCCCGTATCATGGCATCATTATGTTCGTAAACATTGAAGATAATTCGTATCACAAATCTAGGCTGATCCTTGCCAAATTTCCCGGCACCACTTCTTTGAGATCGATCTAACCTGGGTTGAATGAAATTTGTTTACAATTTGACGGCCAAGCCAAAAGACTCTTAGGAAGCTCCACCTTAGGTCCAAATACAGGGGTGTGTCTATGGCCAGTATCTATGAGATTAACCGATTACATTACACAGTATCATGCGGTAGGGTTGGCACACGTGGACTATGCTCAATAGGTACAGAATGCTCAACGATATGCGGACTCTTCTTGATATCATCCAATTCCTTCCATCCATTATTTTCCGTGATTGCCTCGATAGATTCTGAGTCCATCTGGTGCCATCGGGATTGGCGTTTTGATTGCAGTGGCCAGCTCAATTGATTTGAGTTCTGCCCCTGTGGCTGTTGATCTGAGGTTGGATTGGCACGCGACATACTCATGCTCTCAATGATGCTGCCGCTCATACGCTTGATTAGTGGCATAATATATGGAAAGGATCCTACAGTTTAATTAGCATTTTATTGCATGAGACTTCAAAGAGATGTCCATCAAACATACCACAAACTATTCCAGCATTGCACTCGATAGCACCCCACACTGGCACCATACAAGCTTGGTAGGTGAAATCTCCGACTCCTCGAAAGTATATCATATTACGCAATCGAATGATGGAACATGCGATGGCAAGAGATCCTGCGCAGTAGGTAAAGAGTAAAGAAACTATTCTACGATCAGCAGACGTGGAGCAGATTGAGTCTAGAATTGCCAACCTTTTTTCTTCCGCTCCATCTTGAGGTTGAGGAGGGTTGGTAGAGGTAGAAAGAAGATAACAAAGTCAAGGAGTGTGTTGACTGTTGATGTAAAGAAGTTCATGGCCATCATATTCCAGCAACCCTAAATCACGTCAGCATGCATTAGCATGTCAGGGGTCGTACTCACGTGGAAATGTGTCAAGATTCCAAGCAGCGCTCATTGGTATACACTGGAAGATTGCAGCCTATAAAGTTTCAATAAATGGCCACTTTTGACCCAAGGTAGACATGGTACTTACAAAGGTAGTGAAGATTGTAAAGATAGAAACTAAACAGCCAGTCCAAAACACGATCTTTTTTTGCATTCCAGGCGCGGCAAGTAGGTGTAGTTGAGCAAGCATGCTGGCTTTAATCAAGCTATGTTCACTGGTCAGCAACAGATCTCTCAGGCAATTGGTGGATATATTTAGAGTTACCCAACAAGTGCCTGATACACAGAGTTTTGTGCTAATCCAACCTTCATGCTCGCTTGCAACATCTTTGGTCGTGCGCGCGAGTACTCGATATGCTTACCCATACCCGTCTCGATTTGAAAATGGATCAACACGCATGACGCAATAGCCACGAAGGATGATACAACGACAAGCCATTCCGCCAAGTTCAAGCGCGTAGTCTTCAAAAGATACAAGCGGCTAAAGAGTCTGGGTCAAAGTCAGCCAGAGATTCGCAAAAGGCAAACAATGAGTGATTTCTTACCGGAGGATGACTATTAGGAGCGCAAATCCGAGACAGGAAAATGTAATGGCGTAGAGCATAGGGCTGGCATCTTCGTCCATGTATCCAGGATCGCCGGGTTTGAGAGCCATTGCCTCGAGGTTGTACCAACGTTTGCGGAATTCGCACGGTGACAGCTTCGTGTCGGAGACGACGAGTGAATGTCTTGACACTTAATGTCAGCGTGAGAAGACACCCTCCCGTCTTTAATATCATAATGTCTCCAATACCATGCTGTCCTTAAGATGATGCCGCGTCGCTTCTCCGTGTATGAAGGCAGCGATTCGTGACTCGTTCGGTCGACTACGGGTAGGAGTTCGTTGCAAACTATGTTTCTCATGTGCCCCACACATGTGCCGTACCTCAGCACTAGCACATGGAAGCACAACGTCAGGCCAATAAGCACGCTAGAATTATACCCGAGGCCGGGAATCAAAGCCCCTTTTGTCGCAGTGGTCTCTGTAGAAAGTGTGGGGAGCGGCAAGAGAGTTCGGGGTTGCTCCGGGGTCCAATTAGCCTGAGCGCGCCAGCCCACGGTACTAGTTAGATCCGTGTACCAGCCGAATTAGTTAGCTAAGCAATGGCGATTCAGTCAGGGATAAAGCACAATGCATTCGCGAATGTCTCCTCGCCAGTTTAATTCGTGGAGGCGTCGAGTGGCTGCTCCCCCCTTACCCCACATCCCCGCGGCCTCCCCTGTGGCACCTTGTCATCAACCCGCACACTAAAGCTTGATTCGATGTCGAGGCACGAGGCGCTAACGTGGCTCACGCGTAGACGGGTCTGAGCTCATCTGTGTGGCGAGCGTGGCGCCCTATTCTTTTCAGCTCCATGATCATGCAGCCTCCGTTATGACTCGCCCAAGAGCGATGCTGGTGGATGCGGCCGAACAGTCTCTTCTTCTTATGTGTGGTTAGATAGCTGACTCGTGGTCACAAGTCGCGACGTCGTACCAGGGGGCACCGCGGGGCGATGCGAGGAGGGCCTTAGATGGTGGCCCTACTTCTGCATTGTGAGATAATAACATGGTAGCTAACAGTTGACTGTGATTACCCTATCCAGATTAGTGGCCTGCATGCGAGTTTTCTATAGGGATAGTTCTCCGACCTGAGTCGTTTCGTAGCTGGAAGTCGAACTTGTAGAGACCTTGGCATTCGATATTCGAGTATGTTGCGTTGATAATGCCATGTCAGGATGCCAATATTCGATCCATCCATGAGAAGCCAGCAAATTGAGGCTATGTGAGAGCGAGAAATTCGCACTCCCCTAAAGCGAAAACTACCAGTATGTGGATTTAAACTAACATCATTTCTTCCACTCAGCCTTTTCGTGGGAGGGAACTATGCATACACTGGTTCGGTGTAGGATCCGCCTTGATTCTTGCTAGCTAGGACAATGCGGCTCAATCTACCATTAGTTCTAAGACGAACTTCTTGACTTAGTTCAAGGACATCAACTATTCCTAAGGCCAAGCATTCAGGGTTATAAAACACATGGCGGAGACCTTCCCAACGTCTTGCCCAGACTTATTTCACCACTTCTTGATCAGCTAGATTAACCCTTTTTTGTCAAGCAGAACTGTGAAGCATCATGATGGGCCATCGACGAAGGCAGAGGTCTCATTGTTATTGACACAATCGATAACGCTGAGGACGCCCAAGCCGTCGTGCTACCTAGGTTTACCCGCTATGGCTACAGTGACCATTTTAATGGCGCTGGCTACCTCTAAAAGGCTATCGGTACCCTGATCCGGGCTTTAGGTATCGCCTAGTCCACTGCTGTGAAGGCAACGGGTGCGCTGACCAAGGACAATGTGTTGACTGACTGGCAACAGTTTGTGATTGGCAACACATCAGTCAGTGCCGTTGCCACCCAAGCCACACGCTAGGTGGCTGCGCTTTCGTCTTCCCCGTGTATGAAGCAGGGAAGCGCCACAACGCCAGCTTCTACTGCGGGTGTGGCATGCCGCCCTCCGCTGACGACAAGACTAGCCAGGTGTAGAGGTCTTGTTAGTTAGTCACCAGAACTAGGACTAGTCCGTTCAGGATTATGACTTTTCGGATACGCAATCTTGCATCCCCTACGATTATTCCACTATTTCCAACCCCTTTATTATTGATGCCGATAGCTACTTGTGTTGCCTCCAAATGATGGACAAGTGTATGCGAATAATGGGCGCAAGATTTGGTCTATCCCTTTCGGCTTCGATATTGCTGGTGGTCGTCCTTCTAACGATCAGTAGAGGTTATAAGGATTGGAAAAATCAATAGGAAGTAAAGAAAGGTAAAAAGAAGGTTTGAACTTCCTAGCAAGCGATCTGGCCACCCCATCTCCTATAGGCTAGGCCTGAAGTTCGGTGTACACAGTGCACTGTGAATATCTACCTACGTACCGGATTAGAGTTTATCTGCTTTTTTGTTATTCGGTTTAGCATTACATATGATCTTTTCTTGTAACAAGAGCTGAGGTATTAGATGAACTGCCTCTATGTGATAAAGATCTGTTGATTGTTATCTCTACTCTGTTCATATAGGATCGACCCTTGGACTAGTGCCATTAGTACTGAAGTCTCTGCTCGATTTGGTCAATCTAGACTCATGCGAGAAGACAGGTCTTGGCACTATTAGTATGATTAAGCAATCAATTACGCGTGCTAGTTATCGAAGATAAATAGTGAGACTAGAATGTCTTCTCTAGTAGAGAGCATCGTTACGCCTGGAGGTTATTCAGATTGCATCTATTCTATTCTGTTTCGAAGAAAGGATGTCAAAGAGGTTCAGAGTGTAATCATACACCATGAACGTGATACTACTTGATAGCTGTTGCACACTATTAGCCAATTCCTTGTCAAGGGAAAAAAGACAGGTACAAGTGCTTACCGTGAGTCTCACCAGCCGCGGCGTGGTTGCTTTCCAAAATACAAACAAGCCTTCCTTTATCAACATGTTCGTTGCAACCGAAATCATACTACCTCTGTGGCTTCCAATACTCTGCATTCTAGTTTTGATGTTATCGAACGGCATCGATGCATATCTATACATCATCAGGCTTCACACGATAATAGCAGATGCCAAACACTTACACTGTCATGATGCCACTGCCAGCTCCTGCGATTATAGTCGTTGTCGCGCCACCCATCTTTTCTGGCAACGCTTCTTCCAACTTATCTTTGAGTGCGCCGAACGTCGTGAACCGCACAGCGCTGTTTGTACCCTGCTTACACAGTACTGGCGTGAGACCCCTCCATAAGGAAAGCACTCCGTCTTGTCGCACTGTATGCGCGACTAGCTGCGGCATAGAAAGCCGTCCCAAATGGCCTCCTGATGCAGCATCGTGTATGACTCTTGTCTTCAGCGCCTCACCCGGTGTAACAACGAGGATGCTCTCTGTAGCTCCAGCGCATAGCCCTGAGGTGAGGTTGAGCCAAGGATTTCGTACCGCAGACGCGTCACTCATGGTTGGAGAGGAGAAGTAGGGAGTCAAGTTTCTTTTCACGGTCTCAAAGGAGAAGAAGCGAACTCCGCTCTTGAGCGCGTTGCTTATAGCAAGAGTTTGACATCCGGTATATACGCCTCTAATGCCAGAATCTTGGAATGTGGATCTGAGGATGGTGAAGGATGATGCGGACTTTCGGCTGGATGAGGAAGGATCGAGTTGGCGGCGGGTTTTGACAAACTCGGCTGGGTACTGTTGATAGGGTCAGCTTTTATCTGGTATTGAAGGCGAGAATTGTAACGTGCGCCACACACAGAGGAGGCGCAACTAACTGTAACAAAGGTTTCTGATGCGCCAGCCAGGCCACCTGCTATTATGCTGATGACAACTGAGTGCGGGGCATTGTTCATGGTTTCAGTTTCTTGCACGAGACTTGGTGTCGTATTCGACTGTTTCGATCTCGAATCATTCCTGATAAACTAACAGGTTGCACCACGTATATCTATGCACCTTCACAGACATTGCGCGTCAAAGCTCGGGGCAGTGTACAGATGTCTCTGAGGCACAGCGCCAGCACTCCCCCTCGATGCCGAGCATAACTTGTCCCGGCTACTTCGGAGCATGTCCGAAGTCCAAGACGCGCAAAACGGGTGTTGACATCCGCTTGTGGTAACTAGTAAGCAACTGGGGATGGTGGCTCGTGCTGGCTCGGACGTTGACCGAGATTTTGTGGTTTGTGGATGGAGAGGAGCTGGAGGTGCGGGTCTCGCCCGCACTTCGCTCGGCTGCGCACAGACTTGCTTTAGTGGGTCATTTCATTCAATCACTGTGGTTCCAAGAAGAATAATCGTCAAGTCATAGATGCGAGTATTGCGACCTATCCCGTCATCTCCAAGATGGAGAGGTCTCCTGCCGCATGCGGATTCTATGCAAATTACTATGCATCAGACGTTTCTGACTTGGGAGATTCGCGTTGGACGATTCGCCCTCTGATAGATGTCGGTCCGTGCACTAGCTCTGACGTAAGGGTGATTGATTTGTCTATTCAATTACTTGCTATCTAGGAAGGGGAATATCCCACAGTACATGAGCATTCCTGCTGAACACCTTCTCCTTCAACTTCGTCTCTTCCGTCCAATCCAGTACCTTTTCAACAAAAGGCCTGATATCCAGCCCTTCAAATCTAGTATGCGGCCAATCTGACGCGAAAATAATCCTATCCCCAGCAAACTTCAGCAACTCACGGGCAATGCCCTCAACACCGCGATATGCCGGGTCCTTATCAAACCGATAGGCGCCAGAAAACTTGAGATATGTATTACCGCCTTTCAAAAGGTTGACTAGAGATTGGAAACCAGCGAGGGTATATGGATCGAAGGGTAGAGTCCTGTTTTCAGGAGGCGGGAGATTTGGCGCGCCAAAGTGGGCAATGGAAAGTGTGACGCCAAGGTCTCCAACAATGGGCTCAAGCTTTGGCAAATCTTCCATGCCAATGTACAGTTCAAGGACCCAGTTCAGTGGCTTGATTATCTCGGCGTACTGCTTGACCTGCGCCTGCAGTTGGGCTTCGGTGAGCTTGATGTTGTTGGACTTGATGTTCAATCGTACGCCCCTTACACCAAGCTTGTCCCATTCTTGCAGGGTTTTGAAGGAGATTGTATTGGCATCGAAGCCTACGACGCCGCGACCGTGCCGCGTTCCGAGTCTCGTGAGAGCATTGATAAGGAGAGTATTGTCGTTTCCGTATATCGAGGGCTGGACGATGACAATACTTCTCATACCGACCGTCGATTCGAATGACAGGGCGCTGGAAAGATTGTGCAAGCCGGGAGTATACTCGGCATCTGCCGCCTCAGGGTAACTTGGATCCGTTACATGCATATGGGTGTCCCAGCTATGCGCTGGCATGCGCTTCGCAATTGTTGCATTCTCATTGCAGACAATGGGCTTGTTTGCAATACTAGAGGCCAACTTAGCTGACCGAGCAACTGGTCGTAGATGGGGCTGGGCATCTGCAACAAAGATCTGGATGAAAGATAACAAGAACGAAACAAGCTTGATGTTTGGGAAAGCCATCTTGTGTGACTGAATGACTGCTGGACTGAGAACCTACTTACCTGTGTCGTCGGAACTGGGACTTAAATACGATCCTCTTGGGATCTAGGGTCCGAGGTCGCAACCTCAATGATCTCGATTTCCCCGCCATGAGTAGCGAACTCAACGAGAAAATGCAGCGGTAATGAAGGAATTTAGCAGTGCAATTGACAGAGATCATCTTGTATGGTTCCTAGAAAAGGCAATCCGCTTGCGAAAAGGGCTAAGTCAAAGCTTGGAAGGATGAGATAGCGTGCCCCAGTTTTGTATCAAAATTACGGGTATTGCACGCGTTCAAAGCCCGCTCGGGAGTCGAGTCCTGTTCGAACAATATGGTACAGGAAAACTAATACGCAAATCTGCTAAGTATGCTGTGTTGAATGTTTGGACCGGCCACTCGGATGATCGCCGAACACACTTTTGCCGTTTTCGGGAGCTCGGAAGTTGACCGAGCTAGCACTCCACCATCGGAAGATGACCGAATTACCCTGCATGTGGCGTAACAGGGGCTATGCCATCGCATGTTGCGAAGTTTCTCAACCATTCCTTCTTCACAGTTCCCCATACCCCAGAATATACGAAAACTGGGAATATGAGGTAGCACTCCACATATAAAGCCTTAGTACTTCCACAACGGTCTGCTTCAAACCCCAGTCTTCCATCCTTGCACGCGTTGAGATCCTACATGAAGATTTTTATCAGAGGAGCCATGGGCAAGCTACCTCCTCCATTCTATATTCTGGCAGTAGTTGTACTGGCTTGTGGTGGTATTCCAAAAGGTAGCTTCCAAAAATGGGATCCGAATGACGCCGCTGAAATATGAGCTGTAGGCTACGACGAGGGTGGTTTCAGCGCTAGCATAACTTTACCTGCTTTCAAGAATGACTACAACTTGAACAAGGCGGCCTGGACCAACAACGCGACCGGGCTGGCCAACCGCACCGCAAACATTAGCTCTTTGGGAGTCTTGGGTGCCGCCGTAGGTGCTCTGATCGCATACTTTCTGAACGACAAGATTGGGCGATTGTGGTCTTACCGCATCGCGATTGTGATTTGGGCCAGCGGGATCTTGATGCAGGTTTTCTCCTCTGGTATCTTCGAATTGTTGCTGTTTGCCAGGATATGGGGAGGACTCGGCGCAGGCGGTCTCACTGTCATCGCACCACTTTTCCTGTCGGAGATCGCACCTACAAGCGTTCGAGGAATGATTGTCAGTATGTACATGGTTGTACTGTTGAGTTTCCTGGCCTTGGGATTCTTCATCAACTACGGTGTGAGCAAAACAATGAGTACTTCCAGGTCGCAATGGCAGATCGTCCAGGCAATTCCACTTGTTCCGATGGGTTTTGCCTTCTTCAGCTCGTTCCTCATTCCCGAAAGCCCCCGCTGGCTTGCCACTAGAGGTGCCAATGAGGAGTGCCTCGCTGCTCTAGCTCGATTTCGCGGCTTGTCCGGGGATAGTGCAGAGTTGATTGCGGAATACGAAAGAGTCCAAATCGAGGCCAATGCGCTCGTAGAGATGAAGAGCCTATCTTTGCTAGAGACAGCTAAAGAGTGTTTGGCTGATCCAAATCTGCGTAGTCGGTATTTCCTGGCCGTTGCAATGCATACCATTGCACAATGGACTGGAGGAAATGGTATCACCTATTATATCAGCGACATCTTCCAGTACGCCGGTGTCAAAGGACCTCAGACGTCTCTAATCACCTCCGGCGCTTATGGCATAGTTAAGCTGGTCATCACAATGATCTTTGCTTGGGGCTTGATTGACAAGCTTGGCCGAAGACGCTGTTTCACCACGGGACTCATTTTACAAGGCGCAACACACATTTATATGGCCATCTATTTTGGAGCCATTGGCCAAGGAAACCAGCATGCTTCTGACGCCGCTATCGCCTGCGTATTCATCTATGCCATCGGATGGTCGCTCGGTCTCTGCACAATTCCATACATCTATTGCTCTGAGATCTTCCCGACAAAGGTACGTAGTTTCGGATATGCGACAACAATGGGACTGCACTGGTTCTGGCAGTTCGCTGTCGTACGAGTGACCCCAGTCATGTTGGCTGCCTTGAACAAATGGGGAGCGTATACCTTCTGGGCTTTGGTTTGCGCAATCGGTCTCGTTGTTTTGAGGTTGTGGGCGCCAGAGACCAAGGGTGTGCCACTGGAGCGCATGCATGAGCTATTTGAAAAGCCTTGGTACAAGTCCGGGGCAGCCAAGCTTGGATACCTAGAGGACAGCATGTGTGAGGGAAAGGGTGACGAGAAGGTTTCGGTTGAGCACCAGGAGATCAAAGCTTGATATGTCTCCTTCAATGAATCGTGTATCATATCTTCTTTGCTATCATCTTGTGCACCATATCGTGCCTCTGCCTCTTGGGAGCATCCAAGAAGGCGATGCCGAAGTGATATCTATTGTAGGATGTCTTTCTCAATGTGGCGAGTGAGTGATTTGAGGACAAGCTATTTCACAGCCAAGCAAGGAATGCGAAACAACATGAATGTGGTTAGGGCGTATAACCCCTAAATGCCTTTTCACATCAAAGGTCAATAAATTTCGGATTCTGGGTTCATCGTGACGCTAAGAGGCTCAATCTGGAGAAAAGCCCCATACATCTCCTGGGACATGTCCAGCAGATTATAACTTCCAGCTCCCTCTATCTGTCCATTGAGGTACGAAAGATCCAATAGGATGGGCTCATCGTTCTGTTCAACGCTTCCAGGCATGTTGTTTGCAGACGCAGAAGGATAGTATATATCCATGGGTAGAGGCAGTAGAGGATTATTCGCGATGGGTTCCGTCGTGTCGACGGTTGGGCCAGATGGTTCCAAGGATGCTGTTTGAATTCCAAGTACTTCGAGTTCCTTCGATATGTTGCTCAGGGCTGTAGTAATGACTGGCAAAATAGTTAGTAGACATTGTTGATCTGAGTAATCTTACTAGCCTGGGTTTGTATGCCTCAGGCGCTCCAAGGCACCTATGCAGAAGTTGAGTCTTTCCAGCGTATTCGGTGCGTTGTGGCCGATTGCTTGCAGTTCTAACAGAAAGATTGAAGCTGCGGTATAAACACTGTACGCCAGGCTGAGAATAACATGACCTTCGCCAAAAGCGTGCTTGTACAAATCAAACAATGCAATGATTGATGTTGCAGATGACACGCAATGAATCAAAGGGTTACGATCAGCCATGGCGCTTGCCAAGCCGGACTCCCTGCTTAATTTGAGTTTCGCGCGATTCAGTAAAATGTTTATCGTATGATAGAGACAGCTATAACAGATTAGTGCTTTATGCCCGTGGACGAAAACCAAGTCGCACTCACTTGAGGGTAACGATATGACTCGGCGGACAATCCAACTGCATCTCCGCAAGATTAATCTTTAGATGTTCGGGAAGATCTCGCCACCAATCTTGCAGTTTAGAGCCTTCCGAAATTGCACATTGGTATGCATTAGTGGGTGACAGCTCGTGGGAAGGATTGTACAAGTGTATCAGGATCTGGTTCAAAATTTCTGCCAGACTACACATCTGGATGAAACATGAGATCGAATGCGCCTGTCTTGGTCGATAGTTGGCAGTAGGGAGCCCATGCGGAGTCCAAGGTTCAATTTCGGCTGTATCATCCACTGTCGATAGTCAGGACCAAAATCATATGAGCAGAGACCATGTCGTACTTAGCACTCGTGGTGGACTGATCTCAGAGTTTTGGATCATGGGAGCTCGGCCAAAGTACAGGGATATGAGCTTGTCCCAGAAGTAACAGCTCCAGAACAAGCGATTGCGCACTTCAATATCCTCAGTGGAAAAATGTCCAACATCCGCGTATCGCTTACCGTCGACGCAGATACCTATATCATCGATCAGTCGGAATGCCATGCCACTATACAGCCACGCTTGAGTGCGGTTGCCACAACCGCATTGCTGAGCGCTCAGTAGTAGAAGTGCCTGAACGGTAGGGATTTTGCTATTCCCATGTTGGATATCTCTGAAAAGATCTTCAACCGCCCATCTGGAGAAAGCCGCTCCACCGTCGAAAGGGGCGAGTAATTGCTCCATGCCTGGCTCGCCACGACACCATCGGACTGAATGCGAGAGCACGGCATTGAGTAGTGCCTGTGAGAAGTAAGGACCACCAGTCTTCATATCGCCTATGGAAAATAGTCAACGGGGGACACCATGCATCGAAGAAACTTCTTACGTGTGAAGGCAGGCCGGTAGATAAAATTGAAGAGTGGCTGAATCCAGCAGAAATGAGAATCTATGAGAGATCGATAGGGCTCCTATACAACTTTACTCAGCTCTTGTATCTAGCAAGATCTACGGACAACGAACGGGCGTATCTGCAAGCTTCTCGAATACTCTCTCGCGCCATGCGTTGTTGATCAGACCCTGCTTCTTAACATCCATCTCTTGGTCTGCTTGGTCCTGACCTATATGGCGTGTCCAGATACTACCAGGAAGCCGGAAAAGACTCGTGGACTCAGGGAACGACACTCCTGCGTCTCCTTCAACCCTCAGTGACTCAGTAGCTCTTGCTAATCCAGTGTGTGGAAGGACATCTGACGTTCGAGATGGTATTTCCGAGGCATGATCGAGCGGAGAGTCGCTTGACGCCGCTTTGAGACCAGCAAGCGCAGCCTCGAGTTCTGCAACTCTTTGCTCTAACCGCTGTGTGTATGACAAACTAGGAGAACTACGATGCATCAATCTAGAAGTCGGCACAATCGAGGCTTCTTGTTTGTCTTACAGCTTGTAAATACACACGTCGCCACGGGCCCTACACCGGTTACAAACGGGATGCCCACCATCACATTTCACCTAATCTTAACATCAGTTAATGTGAAACCGACAAACATCATGGATGATTGCAAACCTTCCGCTTGCGACAGATGTCACATGAGAAAGCGCTCTTTTTTGTGACCGGGCTACGTTTGTCACTAGGGCTCGACATTGGCACCGTGACACGTGACCGATTCGCTTCTTGAGCTTCCATGATGTCGTGTTCGAAAGAAGTTAAGCAGGCTCGGTCATCGTCCGAGGGATGTGACGTGTAAGCGGGTATCAGATCACTGTTTGAAGGGTTTGAGAGAAATGGACTTTAACCTCGGTTGATTCTGCATGGACGCTCATGTGATCTCTGAGCTACTCCGCTCATAAGCATCTTTCACGAAGCAATATTCACATGTTTAGAAGAATGATATACAGCAGTAGGTCCAAGAAAAAAGCGCATCGATCCCTCTTTGCCACGACATCCGGCTTCAATGTCATAGCAACTTGCGCCACGGTCCTGGAAAGCCTCAATATTAACGTGGTCGAGTAATGCGCGGGGCTATACGAATCGGGCATTCCGATAGAATGCCTGAACGGTCGACTCAAACAGATCTTTGCAATTCCCAGGTTTGCCTGGCTAATGGACAGCCCGTAGGATGGTACAGTAATGCTGATAAAATGCGGACGTAAGCCTAGCCTAACATCCCATCAACCGCAACAGAATCAGTTCGACTCAACGCTAGTCTTGCTTAACGTCGTGTTGTGTACGCCGACTCTATTAGCGCAAGAGAGCACCTGTGACCTGCCAACGCTGTGCAACGCGCGAAATGGAAGCATGGGCTACGCTTGTTCGAGATCGTATGCAATCAAAAAAGGCCTCCTACACGCTCTATCAATTGGTGTGCGTAGTAGCTCAGTAGAAAAGTCTAGTAAATAGCCTACGAAATGGGGTTGGGATGAGAGACAACTCATCGCATTGAGGCTACGATGGAAGTAACGCGAAACAAAACTTTCAGGTAGCGCTACATACAGGAAGAGGTTTCCTGGAGAGTTGTCCCGGTAGGTGATTAGGTTGATAGGGCAAAATTTGGTTACTGGAAGGACGGCATAATGCCTGCGAAGAGAGTGCGCAGTGAACGGTGCTACAGGCGTTAGAGCCAAGTGGGACATTACCCTCGCGCCCGCAAAGTAGAATTAGACAATATAGAAGATAATGACTTCTCGGAAGAATGATACTCTATTCTGACTGATTGGGAAGTTATGGTGGTGCAACGCAATTTTGGTGCAAAGATAGAGTCGCGCGTGGAGGTGGCTGAAGCACTATGAACCACATCGTTCAGTATTATTATTGTTAGGAAGTCGCCTCCGTCTATTCTAGTTTCTATTTGGTGTTCTTATATTACCTACACACATATGGCTCTTAAGCATCTCCACCGCCTTTCATGATGACTAGATTGCTCTTACTAGCAGCATCATGTTTGCAAACATCCTTCCCTCGGAAGGCTAATTCGAAGAATGAATAGAGTTCTATGAAACTGTAGGCCAGTACAGTTGGCAACATCAACATCCAATGTAACAAACCCTTTGTTATTCCCCGAAGACCCTTGTTATAGTGATTGTCACTACCGCCGGGCACAGGTAGATTCCAACGAACGAGGACAGTTGCAATTAGTAGAAACAGATACTGTGTTCCCAAGAAGATCAAGCAGATTTTTGAAAAGAGCGAGTCGCTGATGACCAGTCGATCATGTTGGGCAGCAACTGGATTGACGAGCTGAACGATGATGGGGGAAGCCACAGAGAACATGGCACTGGCGCAGAGAATGAGGCCATAGTAGATGAAGAAGCGAGTAGCCCAGCTGATGCACAGATAAAGCCCGGGAATTCGGTATGTCTTGACAATGAAGTAGTGGAATACCTCACCAGCCCCGATGGTCCATCGGCGAATTTGGAGGGCCCATTCGCGGATTTCATCTCCATAGTTGGCGCCGGAAGTCGGACCGTTGATTGAAATGAGGTTCAATGGCCGGATGCGAATTTCTCGTTGTGTCATGATGGTGTAGCGGATTAAGGCAATAATATTTTCCATCTGATAAGATGGGTGAGTAAAGGCGCCCTCTTCTAACAACTTGACGCTGAGAGAGTAATGGGACATTGGATTGATGTTCCATGGAATCAAAACACCCATGAAGAAAAAGGTACGCAGAACACCGGTAATGTCGACGAAAAAAGGCATGGATTCGCGCTTATAGATGATAATGGATTGCCAAATGGACGAATGACGGTCGACGGGATCCAGCTTGTAGTACTGGGTTTCTAACTCCAGCATGTACTCCGGATCGAAAACGGAGTCGCAGTCGCAGTTGGTAAAGATATGTTCGTATTTGTCATAGTTGTATTCGACATCTTGACGGAGAATGTGCAAACCTTGGCGACAGGCGTAATTCATGTTAGAGCACTTGCCGCTGATCTCGCCAGGAATGCCCGAGGGGTGGAAGGTGACGATGAGACGGAGGAATTTACCCTCGTACTTTGCGTAGATCTCGCTGTATTTGGCTTCCTTATCAGGTGTGCGGCATTCCATGCCGATGATGACAGAGAGCTGGGATTTGGCATTGTTTTGCAGCACAAGAGAGTCCAAGGTAGTTTGAAGTACGCTCATAGGCTCCTTGTACAAGGTCATAGCGACTATGTGACGGATTGCTGAGGTATTTTTGGCCATGGCATTAGCTGATTCGACATCTTCAGCTTTTTTATTCTTGAGTTTGTTTCGATTATTGATGGCCAATGTTCGTCGAATGGCGCAGATAGTGGCTATCAGCCAGATGATTTGGAAAAGACCAATTATGATTACTATGACGAGGTTGGTTGCTTGATTGACGTAGGGAACAAACGGCATCCATAAGGGGAAAAGAAGAAAGATGAAGATCGTCAAGAGAAATAATAGGTTCCAACGGATATAGCGGTTGGCTGCCTCTAGTTTCGCAGCATTGATGCCACTATCTAGGTCCTCATGGGAGGAAGAGGAAGAGGAGGATGATGGTAACGACGAAGGCATGTTTGGGCAACTTTGCTGGTGAATCAACGTAGGAAATTTTACAACAGAAGAACGAACGTGGACAGCTCTTCGCTTTTGTACCTGGTAAGTGTGTACTTACTCGTTGTTCCAAAATTCAGGGATCATTTATCTCGGTACACTCCTGAGGCGTCATTGGCATGTCTGATTAGGGCTGGGAGTGGCGCCACGTGCATTGATCTTGGAACGTCCTCTGTGGGTCCGCTGTTGACCACACCGGCATGCGTCGATCTGCTGTCAAAGCCATGACTGCGCAGCATGCACATGAATTCTCAATTATGAGTTTGAAATTATTGTGAAAACGATTGTATCATTGATAAGACATTCACAGTAACAAAGGTTTTCCATGAGAACAGTATCGTGTGATGTGGCGTTGATGTGGCTGGCGTCGGCTAGGGGTCTAGAACCCGGAACGGAAAAGCGCCAGCCACAGTATTGTCATGAACCGTTTACGAAGGCGCACGAGAAGTGGGCATTTATTGCATTGTTGACTTGAGGCTACCCCTTATAGAGATCAAAGCAGTAGTTGAAGACAATATTCTTTTGCAATCCAGTACGGACAAAAGCCATCAAGGCTAGCCTCGTCCTTAGTCCGTACGGCGACAGAATCGCGAGAGCGCATAAATCCTCGCGGTACGCTAGCTCTATCAGAATACTCTTGACTAGAGCTTCACCTTTAGACATATTTCCTCTGGTACTCCTAACAGACCACTCTTTCCGTACAAGTACGAATACATACAGTGAGAGAGTGCCAACAACAGCCGTGCTAAAAGGGTGATCAATGCATTGTCTTGGCCACTGAAGCAGAAGGACATCATCAAGGGACGCGAACGTATGAACGGCTCTGCCGTATTTTAAATTCTACATTCACGCTTGGCAATTCATCATCTCTCTCCAAAGTTGGGTATATGCAGAAACTTGACTTTGAACGTACAAAAGATTTAGAGCGTTCATCACATCTATATGCTCAGCTGCTTAATTCATAAAAATGAGTGTGTATTTCAAGTTTAAAGAGTTTTAAGACTTGTAAGTTGGTAATAGTATGTATAGTTCTTCTTTCACCCTCCTCTTTGTACCTTATATTATGTCCATGTCTGAATAGCATTGGAACCTCATACCCGCATACCCCTTGGTTCATTCACCACAATATAAACTAAAGTCCATTCTGAAGTCAAAAGCAGAGGTAGCGTTCCCAGTAGCTATGGAAGCGCTCTGGAGGGCAGGCCAGTTTACGTCATTGATACCGACCGCATAATCCCAGTCTTGATGAGGATCGGCGTTGAAAATGATCTGCCAGTAGAACCACGGAATGCCAGCAGCGTCAAACTGTGAGGCCCAAGTGAAGATGTTGTTGTCGCGCATGCCAGAATCGAGTGGGGAACCACCGTTACACGCGTTGTTAGAAGCATCAAGGTAGCATGCACTCCATTCTTGCATAATAAGCTTCTTGTCAGCGTTTTGAGCTTGTGTGACGTATGATTGGAGGCTCGAAGTATCTAAGTCTCCCACCCCATAAGCGTGAATCCCAATAACATCAATTTCGTCGCAGGAGAAGTATGGAGCTTGGACAGAAGTAGCAAGATATGAAGCGCCGCCAGTAGTAACAAGCATGTCGGGGTTATCATTCATGTTGTCCTTGATAGCCTGAGCTATAGTGCACTGCCATGCAGTAAGTGTATCTGGGCTTTCCTCCGATACATGCTAGCTATGATATAGATGGAATTTGTATGTTACACAAAACATACGTTTTCATGCATAGGCTCGTTCTGGGCTTCATAAGCAAAGATGGACTCAGCTCTCTTCCCTCGATTTCTTATCCTGTTGTACATAAAGACATGTCTAAGGTGATTATTAAGAAGCTGCAGCGCTGATTAGCAAGGGATGTGAATCACTCTCTTTTATTGTTGTGCTTAATAATCTTGACATTACTATTTTTCGACTTCCTACCACAGTATGTAAGATAAGATTAGCCCGTTTTGCAGATTGAAGAATATCACATAAAATCACGGTAGTCT